TGGAGGTTCAGATGAGCTATTTAAAATGTTATGGACTTTTTATATTCTAGTCAAATGTGGCTGATGAACAATATTTTAGAGGGAACAAACATTGTTGTATTATTAAAGTTTTTAACAGGCTATAGTGCAAGTAACTGATTGGCCAAGCTTGGGTAATGGGCTCTCCCACTTGATCCACTAGGAAGCATGAATCTCCATAGCAAAACTGAGATGTTACAACCAGACAAATGGAAATAAAGATTAGAAAGGCTGAAAAAAATAAAATTGTCCAGTCCTTTTTATTTTATTTATTTTGCATGTTCCTTAAATCGGAGCCAGTGAGATATATTTATAAAAAACAATAGCCTTTTCCTACAAGTGCTGGTTATTTAAAATATTTGAACTCTTCTTTCTTTCCTTCCTTCTACTTTATTTCTGCCCTTGCACCCTTCTCCCTTCCTTCCTTACTATGTTCTTTATTTCCCTTCTTCCCTTTCTTCTATCAGGGCCACCGTGTAATTCTAAAGCACAACACTGAATATACAGCGCAAGTTCAAGTTAGCAACTGAGACCCAGAATCCCACAACAAAGCTCACTTATGAGAGCTTTTTCAGTTTTGTAGCTTGCTGTAAGGTCACTTTGATAGTTGTGCAGAATCATGCTATTCTTTTTATATAACAAAATAAGTGCTTTCAAAATTTAAAAATAAATAGATTTTTTCCAATTTCAGGTATTCTCTCATAATTTCTTAAAACTCTCTAGTCTGCCGTAATAAAACAATCGTAACAGAAAATCTTGTGGAGCTGGTCTAGAACTTTTGGTTTGTTTATTGTGCTCAGGATTGCTCTTTTATACTGAATAAAGACACATTTCTTGCTATTAAAATTAGTCAAACATTATGTAATTGCACTAAAAATATGTATTTTAAGGTGGTTCCCCACAGAGCAGTAAGATTTTGTGTTTCTCAGGTGAACATGCTAGAAAATTTTTGTGACTTGGCACAAAACTCTTCCCAAAAGATATTGATGTGGTTGGTGTTAGGAGTGATGTTCTCCTTGCCCACCATTCAGTCTTTTATAAGTTTCACAAGAAAAATATTTTCTGGATTTTCTTATTTTCTTGCGAAAAACATTGGCTGAAAATCCAGCTGGTAATCTACATCTCTTATGTATTGGCTGATTATCATTTGCCATATTATCATTAAGTCAAAAGATGCTATATATATGTGGGCTGGGGGACTTGTCCATGACTATGCATCACTTATCCAGTAGAATCCTTCCAAGGATAACAAGCTAAATTTTATTGTAACTAAGATGATTTCCTTTCTATTCAAACAGATGTTTAAGGAGACCATTTTATACTCAAGTAATAAAGTTAATGAATTTGATTTCAAATAATGTCTATAAAATGAAAATGCTCATAGAAGGAGGCAGGAGTTCAATCAAAATTGTCAATAAGAGAAGACTTCTACTTCTGAGAATATGGAATATAAATAAATATACAAAATGGATAGATCTTAAAAGAGAAATAGACAAGTCTACAATTATACTTGAAGGTTTCAACATCCCTCTCTCAGCAATCGACAGAATTGAACAAAAATTCAGCAAGGATATAGAAGAATCAACAGCACCATCAGTCTGCAGACTCAACTGAACATTTGTGGAATACATCTCCCAACAACAGCAGATTACGCAGTCTTTCCAAGCACCCATGGAATATATATCAATGTAGACTATGCCCTAGAAAATAAAACAAAAGGCGACGCATTTAAAATAATTGAAATTACATGAAGTGTATCCTCTGATCACAGTGGAATCAACCTGAATACCAGTAGCAAAAAGATATCAGAAACATTTCTCACCACTTGGAAAATAAACAACGCATTTCTAAATAGTTAAGGGATCAAAGAGGAATTCTCAAGAAAAATAAAAAATATATGGAATAGAATGAAATTTAAAATAGAACATATTTAACCATTTGGGGCATAGTTAAAGCAGTTCTGAGGGAGAAATTTGTAATGCTAAATATTTCCATTAGAAAGGAGGGAATGTGTTATATTAGTCACCTAAGCTCCCACTTCAAGAATCTCAAAAAAAGAAGAGCAAAATGAATTCAAAGCCAGCAGAAGAAAGGCAGCAATAATGATAAGAGCAGAAAAAAATTAAGTTTCAAAGATAACCCAATGAAACAAAAAGCTGGTCTTTGAAATGGTCAATAAAATTGAGACTGACAAATAAGACTTACACAGAAAAAGAGAAGCAACACAAATTACTAATATCACTAATAAAGAACTTAACAACCTCAAAAGGCTTATAAGGAAATATTACAAATGACCTACACACATAAATTGAATCACTTAGACAAGTGTGCCAATCTCAGAAAGCACAGGCTACTGCAACTCATTATATATTAAATAGATAATTTGACTAGCCCTAAAACTACTGAAAAATTGAATTTGTAATTTAAAAATCAACTATTCAAATGTTTAAAGAAAAATTAATGCTAATTTAACGCAATCTTTTCTAGCAAGCCAAAGAGGAGGAAATACCTCCCAATTAGTTTTGTGAGGCTAATATCCTGATACCAAAACAAGATGAAACAGTATAAAAATAAAATATGTTCATGAATGTCAGAAGATCTGAATAGATCTTCTCTCAAAAGATGACATAGAAATTGATGGCAAGTATATGAAAAAGGGCTCAACATCACTAACAATTAGAGAAATGCAAATGAAAACTACAAACTGCAATAAGATACCATCTCACTGTAGTTAAAATAGTTTTTGAGTTTCTTATATATTTTAGATAATAATTTTATTTAGTTATTTAATTATTTATTTATTTTTGAGATGGAGTTTCACTCTTATTGCCCAGGCTGGAGTGCAAAGGTGTGATCTTGACTCACCACAACCTCCATCTCCCAGGTTCAAGTGATTATCCTACTTCAGGGATTAAGGCATGTGCCACCATGCCCGCTAATTCTGTATTTTTAGTAGAGATGGTTTTCACCACGTTGGTCAGACTGTTTCAAACTCCTGCCCTCAGGTGATCTGCCTGCCCCAGCCTCCCAAAGTGCAGGGATTACAGGCGTGAGCCACTGTGCCTAGCCTAGATACTCATTCTTTATGAAAATGTGGTTTGAATTTTTTTTCCAGTCAGTAGCCTAATCTTAGAGCATCTTAACAGGGTCTTCTGCAAAACAAAAGTTTTTAAAATTTTGATAAAATCAAATTTATTGTTATTTTTGTTTTTCTGCTATTGAGTTGAGTTCCTCATATATTCTGGTTACTAATTACTTGCTGATGGGTAGTTTATAATTTTTTTCTCCATTCTGTAGGCTGTTTCTTCACTTTGAGTTTTTCTTTTGCTGTGCAGAAGCTTTTTAGCTTGATATGTTTCATTTGTCCATTTCTGCTTTGATTGCTTGTGCTTTTGAGATCTTACTCAAGAAATCTTAGCCCAGGCCAAAGTCCTGGAGCATTTACCCATGTTTTCTTCTAGTAGTTTTATAGTTTCAGGTCTTAGATTTAATTCTTTAATCTATTTTGATTTGATTTTTGTATATAGTGACATATAGGGATCTAGTTTCATTCTTTTGAATATGGATATACAGTTTTCCTAGCACCATTTATTGAAGAGACTGTCTTTTTCCCCAATATATGTTATTGGCACCTTTGTCAAATATTAGTTGACTATAAATGCATGGATTTATTTCTGGGTTCTCTATTTTGTTCCATTCATTTATGTGTCTGTTATTCCAGGACGACACTATTTTTGTTTAGTGTAATGGCTTTGTTTAGTGTAATTTAAAGTCAGGTAATGTGGTGCTTCCAACTTTGTTCATTTTTCTCAGAATTGCTCTAGCTAGTCTCTCTCTCTCTCTATCTGTGTGTGTGTGTGTGTGTGTGTGTATGGGTGTCAGTGTGGGCAGGGTTCCATATAAATTTTAAGATTGTTTTTTATGTGTCTGTAATGAATGTCATTGGTATTTTAATAAGTATTGCATTGAATTTGAAGATTGCTTTGAGCAGTGTGGACATTTTTGACAATATTGGTTCTTCCAATTCATGAACATGGAATATCTTTTCATTTTGTGTATGTGTGTGTATCTAGATGCTGGTCTAGATGTGGAGAAAGGGGAATACTTGTACACTGTTGGTGGGAATGTAAATTAGTACAGCCACTAAGGAGTGCAGTATGGAAGTTCTTCAAAACCTAAAAATAGAACTATCACATGATTCAACAATTGCATGGTAGGCATATATTCAAAAGAGAAGAAATCAATACGTGGAAGAGATATCAACACTCCCCTACTTATTGTAGGATGATGTACAGTAGCCAAGATATGGAATCAACTTAATGTCTATCAACAGATGAGTAGATAAAATCTGGTACATATACACAAAGGGATATTATTCAGAAGTAAAAAAAGAATGAAATCTGTCACTTACAATAACATGGATGAAACTTGAGGACGTGATGGTAAATAAGATAAACCAGAAACACAAAGACAAATATCACGTTTTCATTCATGTGTGGGAGCTAAAATAAATTAAACTCATGGAGATAGAGAATAAGAATAATGATTACTAGAGTCTTGGAAGGATAGTTGGGACAGGCGATAAAGAGGGGATGGGTAATAGATACAAAAATATAGTTAGATAGGAGGAATAAGATCTAGTGTTCCCTTGCACAATAGGGTAACTATAGTTAAGAATTTATTGTATATTTCAAACGAACAAAAAGAATGGAATTGGGATGTTTCTTACACAATAAATAATATATATTTGAGGTGATAAATATCCCAATTACCCTGATTGGATCATTACACATTATTTCCTCGTACAAAAATATCACATGTTCCCCATAAGTATGTATAACTATTATACATCTATAAAAATTTAAAAAAGAAAGCAAAACATTATAAAGTAAAAAAGTTAAAAGAAACAGGTGAAATAAATTTTAGTAGCATATTTTGTTTAATTCAATATATCTAAATATTGTCATTCAACATGCAATCAGCATGAAAATGTTGATGAGGAGGATGATCCAAGATGGCCAAATACCAACAGCTCAGGAGTGCAGTTCCCAGCAAGAATGCAGAGGGTGAGTGATCACCACATTTCCAATTGAATTTTTACTGCCCACAGACCAGGAGATTCCCGGGCTGAAAAGTGCCATGAGTCTCCAGCACAGCTGTTTCAGCCAGTGCAGTGGGTCTCCGCACAAAAACTCACACAAATCTGACCACCATTTCAACTGGCACCTGGAACACCTGGGAGACAGACTCACTCATTCAAGTGAAAAAGAGGGGGCTGAAACAGGGAGCCAGGTGATCTGGCTTGGCAGGTCCTACCCCCACAAAGATCAGCAATCTGAAACCCTCTGGTTTGAGAGTATCAAAGCAAGCATAGCTGGACCCAGGATGGTCCAGCTCTGTGGGGGAAGGGCATTGCTATTACCGAGGCAGTCCACCACTACCAAGGCAGTCTGCCATTACTGAGGCAGTCCACCATTACAGAGACAGTCCACCATTATTGAGGCAGACTGCCATTATCGAGACAGTTCTAACTATACCTCTATAAAAAAACAGCAAGGAAGTTCACACAGCAGCTGGGCAGAGCCCATGGCATCTCAGCAATGCCTCTGTATGATTAGGCAGACTGTGACTCTACATGACTAGGCAGACTGTGATTAGGTTACCTGCTTGCTGGGTAGGGCATCTCTGAAAAAAGGCAGCAGCACGTCAGGAACATATAAATAAAGCCCCACCTTCCTGGGACAGAGCACCTGGGAAAAAAAAGGCAGATATGAGCTCCACTGCAGCAGACTTAAATGTACCTGCCCAGCAGCTCTGAACAGAACAATGGAGCTCACAGCTCAGCACTTGAGCTCCTATAAGGGACAGACTGTCTACTCAAGCAGCTCCCCAACCCCCATATATCCAAAGAGACACCTCATAAAGGAGAGAGCTCAGGCTGACATCTGGTGGGTATCCTGGGACAAAGATAACAGAAGAAGAAACTGGCAGCAACCCTTACTGTTTTGCAGCCACTGCAGGTGATCCCCAGGGAAGCAGGATGTGGAATACACCTCCAGTACTCCTAAAGAAGAGAAGCTTGACTGTTCGAAGGAAAACTAAAAAGAAAGAAATAGCTTCATCATCAACAAAAAGTACATCCACTCAGAGATCCCATCCGAAAGTCACCAACTACAAAGACCACAGGTAGATAAATCCACAAAGATGGGAAGAAACCAGAGCAAAAAGGATGCAAACACCCAAAACCAGAACACCTCTCCTTCTCCAAGGGATCCTCACCAGCAAGGGAACAAAACCAGACGGAAAATGAGTCTGATGAATTGACAGAAACAGTCTTCAGAAAGCGAGTAATAACAAACTTCTCCGAGCTAAAAGAACATGTTCTAACCCATTGCAAAGAAACGAAGAATCTTGAAAAAACGTTTGATGAAATGCTAATGAGAATAGACAGCTTAGAAAAGAATATAAATAAATTGATGGAGCTGAAAAACAACACAAAAACTTCATGAAGCATACACAAGTTTCAGTAGCCGAATCAACAAAGCAGAAGAAAGGATACCAGAGATTGAAGATCAACTCAATGAAATAAAATGAGAAGGCAAGATTAGAGAAAAAAGAGTGAAAAGAAATGAACAAAGCCTCCAAGAAATATGGGATTATGTGAAAAGACCTAATCTACATTTGATAGGTGTACCTGAACGTGACAGAGAGAATGAATCCATGCTGGAAAACACTCTTCTTCCCCAACCTAGCAAGGCAGGCCACCACTCAAGTCCAGGAAATATAGAAAATACCACAAAGGTATTCCTCAAGAAGAGCAACCCCAAGGCATGTAATCATCAGATTCACCAGGGTTGAAATGAAGGGAAAAATGCTAAGGGCAGCAAGAAAGAAAGGTTGGGTTACTCACAAAGGGAAGCCCATCAGACTCACAGCAGACCTCTTGGCAGAAACCCTAAAAGCCAGAAGAGAGTGGGGGCCAATATTCGACATCCTTAAAGAAAAGAACTTTCAATCTAGAATTTCATATCCAGCCAAACTAAGTTTCATAAGTGAAGGAGAAATAAAATCCTTTATGAACAAGCAATTTCTGAGCAATTTCATGACCACCAGGCCTGCCTTACAAGAGCTCCTGAATGAAGCACTAAACATAGAATGGAACAACCCATACCAGTCACTCCAAAAACATGCCAAATGGTAAAGAGCATCGACACAATGAATAAACTGTGTGAACTAATGGGCAAAACAACCAGCTAGCATCAAAATGACAGGATCAGATTCACACATAATAATATTAACCTTAAATGTAAATGGGCTAAATGCCCCGATCAAAGACAAAGACTGGCAAATTGGATAAGAAGTCAAACACCATTGATGTGCTATATCCAGGAAACCCATCTCACATGCAAGGATACACATAGGCTCAAAATAAAGGGATGGAGGAAGATTTACCAAGCAAATGGAGAGAAAAAAAAAAAGCAGGAGTTGCAATCCTAGTCTCTGATAAAATAGACTTTAAACCAGCAAAGATCAAAAGAGACAAAGAAGGGCATTACATAATGGTAAAAGGATCAATGCAACAAGAGGAGCTAAAGATCCTAAATATATATGTACACAATACAGGAGCACCCAGATACATAAAGAAAGTTCTTAATGACCTACAAAGAGACTTAGACTCCCACACAATAATAGTGGGAGACTTTTACACTCCACTGTCAATATTAGACAGATAACAAGACAGAAAATTAACAAGGATATTCAGGATTGAACTCAGATCTGGACCAAGCAAACCTAGTAGACATTTACAGAACTCTCTACTCCAAATCCAAAGAATACACATTCTTCTCAGCACCACATCACACCTACTCTAAAATTGAGCCACATAATTGGAAGTAAATCACTCCTCAGCAAATGCAAAAGAATGGAAATCATAACAGTCTCTCAGACCACATGCAATCAAATTAATTCAGGATTAAGAAACTAACTCAGAATTGCACAACTTCATGGAAAATGAACAACTGCCTCTTGAATGTTGACTGGATAAACAATGAAATGAAGGCATAAATAAAGATGTTCTTCAAAACCAAGGAGAATGAAGATACAATGTACCAGAATCTCTGGGATGTGTTTAGAGCAGTGTCTAGAGGAAAATGTATAGCAATAAATGCCCATATGAGAAGCAAGGAAAGATCCAAAATTGACCCCCTGTCATCAAAATTGAAAGAGCTAGAGGAGCAAGATAAAAGAAAATTCAAAAGCTAGAAGACAAGAAATAACTGAGATCATAGCAGAATTGAAGGAGATAGAGACAAAAAAAAACCTTCAAAAATCAATAAATCCAAGAGCCAGTTTTTTGAAAAGATCAACAAAATAGGCCACTAGCCAGATTAATAAAAAATAAAAGAGAGAAGAATCAAATAGATGCAATAAAAAACAATAAAGGGGATATCACCACTGATTCCACAGAAATACAAACTACCATAAGAGATTGCTACAAACAACTCTATGCACATAAACCATTAAACCTGGAAGAAATGGATAAATTTCTGCACACTTGCATCCTCTCAAGCCTAAACCAGGAAGAAGTTGAAACCCTGAATAGACCAATGCCAAGGACTGAAGTTGAAGCAGCAATTAATAGCCTACCAACCAAAAAAGCCCAGGTCCAGATGGGTTCACAAAAATTCTAGAAGCTGGTACCATTCCTTCTGAAGCTATTCCAAACAATCCAAAAAGGGGGAATCCTTCCCAAATCATTTTATGAGACCAACATCATCCTGATACCAAAACCCAGCAGAGACTCAACAAGAAAAGAAAACTTCAGGCCAATATCCATGATGAACATAGATGCAAAAATTTTCAGTTAAATACTGGCAAACCAATTGCAACAGCACATCAAAAAGCTTATCCATCACAATCAAGTAAGCTTCATCCTGGGGATGCAAGACTGGTTCAACATATGCAAGTCTATAAACATAATTCATCACATAAAGAGAACCAATGACAAAAACCACATGACTATCTCAATAGATGCAGAGAAGGCCTTCAACAAAACTCAACAGCCCTTTATGCTAAAAACCCTCAATAACCTAGGTATCAACAGAATGTTTCTCAAAATAATAAAAGCTATTTACAACAAACCCACAGCCAATATCATACTGAATGGGGAAAAACCGGAGGCATTCCCTTTGAAATCTGGCACGAGGCAAGGATGCCCTCTCTCACCACTCCTATTCAATATAGTATTGGAAGTTCTAGCCAGAGCAATCAGGCAAGAAAAAGAAATAAAGCGTATTCAACTAGGAAAGGAGGAAGTCAAATTGTCCTATTTGCAGATGAAATGATTGTATATTTAGAAGACCCCATCGTCTCAGCCCAAAATCTCCGTAAACTGATAAGCGACTTCAGCAAAGTCTCAGGATATAAAATCAATGTGCAGAAATCACAAGCATTTCTATGCATCAATAACAGATTTAAAGAGAGCCAAATCAAGAACAAACTGCCATTCACACTTTCTAGAAAGAGAATAAAATACTTCGGAATACAACAAAGGATGTAAAAAGGACCTCTTCAAGGAGAACTACAAACCACTGCTCAAGGAAAGAAGAGAGGACAAACATATGGAGAAACATTCCACTCTTATGGTTAGGAAGAATCAATATTGTGAAAATGGGCATACTGCCCAAAGTAATTTATAGATTCAATGCTATCCCCATCAACCTACCTATGAACCTCTTCACAGAACTGGAAAAAACCACCTTAAAATTCATATGGAACCAAAAGAGAGCCTGCATAGCTAAGTAAATTCTAAGCAAAAAGAACAAAGCTGGAGGCATCACACTACCAGACTTCAAACTCTGCTACAAGGTTGCAGTAATCAAAACAGCATGGTACTGGTACCAAAACAGAGATATAGACCAATGGAACAAAACAGTGGCTTTGGAGGCAACGCCACACACCTCCTAACATCTGATCTTTGACAAAACTCACAAAAACAAGCAAGGGGGAAAGGATTCCCTGTTTAACAAATGGTGTTGAGAAAACTGGCCAGCCATGTGCTGAAAGCAGAAACTGGACCCCTTCCTGACACCTTACACTTAAATCAACTCCAGATGGATTAAAGACTTAAACATAAGATGTAACACCATAAAAACCCTAGAAGAAAATCGAGGCAAAACCATTCAGGACATAGGCATAGGCAAGGACTTCATCATTAAAACACCAAAAGCATTGGTAACAAAAGCCAAAATAGACAAATGGGATCTAATTAAACTCCAGAGCTCTGCACAACAGAAGAAACAATCTTTAAAGTGAACTGGCAACCAATAGAATGGGAAAAAATTTTTGCAATTTACCCATCTGACAAAGGACTGATATCCAGAATCTACAAAGAACTAAAACAGATTTACAAGAAAAAAACAAACAAGCCCATTCAAAAGTGGGCAAAGGATATGAACAGACATTTTTCAAAAGAAGATATCTATGAGACCAACAAACATATGAAAAAAATGCTCATCATCACTGGTCATTAGAGAAACACAAATCAAAACCACATTGAGATACCATCTTATGCCAGTTAGAATGGCAATCATTAAAAAATCTGGAGACAACAGATGCTGGAGACCACGTGTAGAAATAGGAACATTTTTACACTGTTGATGGGAGTATAAATCAGTTCAACCATTGTGGAAGGCAGTGTGGTGATTCCTCAAGGACCTAGAAATAGAAATTCCATTTGACCCAGCAATCCCATTACTGGGTATATATCCGAATGATTATATATCATTCTATTATAAAGACACATGGACACATATGTTCATTGTGGCACTGTTTACAATAGCAAAGACCTGGAACCAACCAAAATGCCCATCGATTATAGACTGGACAGGGAAAATGTGGCACATATACACCATGGAATATTATGCAGCCATAAAAAACAATGAGTTTGTTTCCTTTGTAGGGACATGGATGAATCTGGAGAACATCATTCTCAGCAAACTGACACAAGAACAGAAAATCAGACGTTGCATGTTCTTACTCAAAGGTGGGTATTGAACAAAGAGAACACATGGACACAGGGAGGGGGCCGTCACACACTGGGGTCTGCTGGGGGGAACTAGGGGAGGAACAGCAGGGGGTAGGGGGTTGGGAGGGATAAAATGGGGAGAAATGCCAGATACAAGTGATGGGGATGGAGGCAGCAAACCACATTTCTATGTATGTACCTGTGCAACAGTCCTGCATGTCCTTCACATGTACCCCAGAACCTAAAATACAATAAAATATATATATTAAAAAAAGAAAATATTGATGAGATGTTTTACATTATTTTTTTTTCATTCAGTCTTGAAAGATGGGAAGATCAGGGCCAAGAATGTATGGGGTCATGGTATATGAATGAACTAGTGAGAGTGGGCACAAAGTGTGAATGTATACTAATGTCTAAGGGAGAATACGTACCCTAGAAGGGACATTAAACAACTGGGTGATTGGAGTAGACAAAGTGTCAGCCAGTCAATAACAGCCATTCTGTGTCATCAGAGATTTTGGTGTTTGGACAATGGGCACATGCCAGAGTAACCATGGTGTAAGGGATGCAGATTTTGCATTGGCCCAACCACACAAATTCCTATTTACTGAAGCTTTTATAACTTCTGTCACTGCCAAATATCTCAGAATTAGTGACAGAGAACAATGCTAATCCCCCAGTACAGCACTATTTCTTCAGGGGATAAACCAGCCACCTGGTGGCAAGTTAAAGACATTAGACTTCTGCCATCCTGGAAAGATGGAAGCATTAATTCATTTTGAATAATACATATTCCAGATATGGTTTTGCGTTTCCTGTCAAAGAACCTCAAACAGCACCATTAGCCATGGGATTTCAGAGAGCTTAGTCCATTAACAGGCAATCTCATACAGCATTGCATCAGACTAACACAGTCGTTGTCAACCATGGGCAATCCCATATCTCCCACATCCCACCCCAAGACATTTGGCAATGTCTGGAGACATTTGTCATTGTCAGAAAAGGGAGGATGTTACTGACATCTAGTGGCTAGAGAGTTGCTGCTGAACATCCTATAACGGACAGGACAGCCTCCCTTAATAAATAATCTGCCCCAAAATGTCAATATGCCACTGTTGAGAAATTCTGAACTAAGAGCAACCTCCATTCTGTTTTCCATTATGGCTGTATTGATGTACATTCCTCAAAACAATGTAAAAGTACTTCCTTTTCTTCACATCCTCACCAATACTTGTCTCTTGTTTTTTTTGTTACCCATCCTAAAAAGTGTAAGCTGATCAGTCATTGTGGTTTTAATTTGCATTTCCCTGATAATTAGTGATGTTGAGTATTCTTTCACGTACTTGTCAACCATTCATATCTCTCTTTTTGAGGAATGTCTACCAAGGTTCTTTGCCCATTTCTTAATCAGATTTTTTTTTTCTTGCTGTTGAGTTGGGTCCCTTATATACTTTTGATACTAACTCGTTATCACATATGTAGTTTACAAATATTTACTCCTATTCCATAGGCTGTCTCTTCATTCTGTTGATTGTTTCCTTTGTTGTATAAGAGACTCACTTTAAAGCAAGAGGTGCAACAGTAGCTGCATTATTATAAGATCAACTGTTCCTATGAGAAACTACACCATCCAAAAGATGCTGCCATTGAAGAGCAATAAAATAGTTCATAGAAGGCACAGGTGAGGCACAGGCTTGAAAACGATACCATATAAGGATAGGAAATCATCTTCCAAGATACACTCTATACTCAAGTCTCATAACCATTGTATGGTGCTGTGTCCCATTATTTAGATACGTGGTGCCCCATTGGTTATACATGGTGGCGGGAATGAACAGTTGAAAATAGAAATATGGCCATTTTCACGATATCAATTCTTCCTATCTATGTGCATGGAATGTTTTCCTATTTGTTTGTGTCCTCTCATTTCCTTGAGCAGTGGTTTGTAGTTCTCCTTAAAGAGGTCTTTCACATCTCTTGTAAGTTGTATTCTTAGGTATTCTATTTTTTTTTAGCAATTGTGAAGGTGAATTCACTCATGATTTGGCTCTCTGCTTGTCTATTGTTGGTGTATAGGAATGCTTGTGATTTTTGCACTTGATTTTGTATCTTGAGATTTTTCTGAAGTTGCTTATCAGTGTGAGAGTTTTCGGGCAAAACCACAATATGATACCATCTCACACAGTTAGAGTGGTGATTATTAAAAGTCAGGAAATAACAGATGCTGGCGAGGCTGTGAAGAAATAGGAACACTTTTACATTACTGGTGAGAATGTAATTTAGTTCAACCATTGTGGAGGACAGTGTGGCGATTCTTCAAGGATTTAAAATACCATTTGGCCCAGCAATCCCATTACTGCATATATACCAAAAGGATTATAAATCATTCTACCATAAAGACACATGCACACATATATTTACTGAAGCACTATTTACAATAGCAAAAACTTGGAACCAACCCAAATGTCCATCAATGATAGACTGCATAAAGAAAATGTGGCACATATACCCCATGGAATACTATAAAGCCATAAAAAAGAATGAGTTCATGTCCTTTGCAGGGACATGAATGAATCTGCGAACCATAATTCCCAGCAAACTAACATGGGAACAGAAAAACAAACACTGCATGTTCTCACTTGTCAGTGGGAGTTGAACAATGAGAACACATGAACACAGGGAAGGGAACCTCACACACAGGAGCCTGTTGGGGAGTGGGACATAGGGGGAGGGAGAGTATTAGGACAAATATCTAATGTGTACGGGGCTTAAAACCTAGATGACAGGTTGATAGGTGCAGCAAACCACCATGGCACATGTATACCTATGTAACAAACCTGTGCGTTCTACAAATGTATTCCAGAACTAAAATAAAGGAAAGGAAAAGAAAGAAAAAGAAAATGGCAATGACACATAGTGAGTTTCTGCTTCCTTTTTCTGAAATTCTGTAATCCATGTGTTTAGCAGTCTTGGTTCCTACAATGGGGAATATATATTAGTGAAACGTAAGCTATGATTTTGGCCTGGGCACTTCAGATTCCATATGCCAAGGGGCCAGTGGGCAAGGAGGGAATACTATACTGTTAGAAGTAATTGAGTTGATTACCAGGAGAAAGGCTGTTATGACACACTGGGGCAGAGAGGAACATATTTGGTACTTGATTATCTCTTGGCAATTATTCGCCCAATTTTCATAATAAATTGACAAATAGAGTAGCCACAATCTAAGAAGGACTTGATGACCAGATGTTTAGACAATCAGAGATATGGGTTTGGGTCATCCAACCAGATAAGCCACCAAGACCAGCACAGGTCCTAGCTGTGGGAGAAGTGATTCCAGGATAGAAGAGGACGATAAATTATTACAGATGTAGCCCCAAGCCCAACTGTATCAGTGAGAGATAGAGTTTTCTCCATTAACTTTCTTCTAGGAAGCTTACTTCAGGCAAGAAATCCCTCAGAGTCCTGAAGATACAGCTTTTGGAACTTAGATGAAGAAAGAAGACTCAAGGTATACAAGAATGGACAGTACAGAGTGCTCTGCTAGATTCTCCTTTCAGGAAGGAAGGACAAATTCACTCAACTTCTGGAAGCATTGCTGGTTGAGCTCTCAGCCATCAGACCTTTTTAGAAGTTACCCTCTTCTGAAACGAGGCACATTGCCCAAGATCTTTCCTCCTCCAGAAGGCAAGCTGCACCTGAAGACTGGTTGATGTAGGGTATGACGGTCTGGTCTCCTTTCCCCAACTCAGACACATCTAAAGAACTGTCCTAACTTCAGGGTTGTCCTTGAGGTTTCCTTAATTAGTTCTTGTTACTATGTTGCAGTCCAACTTCTTCTTTGGTTTAATTCTATTTTCTTCCCATCCCCCAGCAATTGCCCCCAAATTTTCTGTAAACTAAACACAGTCTCAAAGTCACCTTTCCAAGGAATCTGACCTGCAACATGATTACATACACTGCAGTCTATACACTTAAAGATTTAGTGAAAGTATCTGGTGTAGCTTGTCAGAAATTCCCTTCTTCCACTGAAAATTTGTCTTGCAAATATCTGTTAGTAGATATACACCATTCATTCTCTTCTCTACTTTGGCCAATTCTCTTATGTGTGGGAAAGTGTTCTGCTACAAAACAGAGTACCAATTGTTAGAACTAGAAAGAAAAACACATAAAAGTCTGTCATTTCTTGTATCTTTTATATCTCCAACAAATACCCTGTGATAAAAAGGATGATAGGAAATGTAAGTAGTTTGACTCCACCAAATATTTGGCCTGAAGTATTCGTGTATGAAATACAAACTCACTTAATCTGGGCTCAAATTTACCAGAACCTCTTTTCCTCTTTTTTCAGACACAGACTTCGTTTAAATCAGTATTAACATCAAACACATCACCATCAAGAAAGCTGTAATTTTGATTGTTTGTCTAACAGTTGGGCCACGTTTTCCTGTTTTTCATTTCTCTTCTGATACGTCAGTCTATGCCAGGGGAGAAACTGGCTGAAGTTAAGGGCTAATGTCAAGTACTAACTGAACAACAAATGGATGGCCTCAATAATGTTATAACCTGGTTGAAATTATTACTCAGTTTTTTTTTTGGCAGACCTGAGATCTATGTATCTCCATTTAACACGTGAATGTAGACCATTTCCTTAAAAGCAAATTCCTATAAAAATATATATCAGAAATGAATAGGTATAATTAATATAACTTTTTAAATGCTTAATAAAATTCACCAGTATACTATCATTTTCGTTGAGAGAAGGTTCTTAATCATGAATTTTATTTACTTAATGACATTATTTAATTTTTCTTTTCTTTTTGTTAATTTGATTTGTTATGGCTTCTCAAAAATTTGTCCTTTTCATCTAATTTGTTCAATTTATTTTCATGGAATTGGTCACATACTTAATGCTTCATTCCTTTTTATATAACCAAATTTCCATCTGGTAACATTTACTGTGAGCCAAAAGAGCTTCCTGTATCATTTCCTGTAGTACATATCTGCTGATTAACACTTTTCTAGGTTGACAAATTGTATAGTTGTCTTTCATTTAGTTTAAAAATGTTGTTCCATTGTCGTCTGATTTTCATTGTTTCTGATGAGAGGTCAGCCTTCTTTCTTACTATTGGTCCCCTGCATTTAATATGTAATGTCTTTTTTTCCCTTGCTTTTCAAATGTTCTATTTAATTCTGATTTTCAGTAATTTACTATAATGTCTGTTGTTTGGTATCTGCTTAGATTCCTGTAATTATGTGTGGGTTTTAAATAAAGTTTTGAAATTTTCTAATCATTATTTGGCTAAGTCATTTTTCTGCTTCATACTCTCTCTTTTTCTCTCTTTCTAGTACTCTAATTAGAAGCTTTCATTCTTTTGCTATTATTTTACAGGTTATTAATGTTCTACTTTAAAATTTTAAAGTAATTTTTATGGAAAATTTGATTATAATTTTAAATAACTATAATAGAAAATTCTAAAAATTCAAAAAGTAAGCCAACAATTCATATCATACCTATAGAAATGGCAATTTGGTCTTTTGTTTTCTAAACCTTATACCTTATTTTCTTTCTTACATTGGCCATGATTTGGAGTCTTTATGGATGAGTAAAAATGATAATATCCTTGTATTTAATGTATCTTTAGAGAAAAAAAGTGTCTAAAATTTCATGATCGAGAATGCTGTTTGTTGTTATTGAAAGGTATGTTCAAATGATTTCAGGGAGTTTCCTAAGTTTTTTGGAGTATTTTGCTATTTTCATATAGATTTTGAAATTTATACATATATTTTTCCATTACTATTGGGGGGTGGGGAATGTGGAAAAATAATTACTAGTGCTATTCTTTAGGCATTTCAAATTGTCTCTGAGTCTGAACACATGTGGAATTTCTCTTCTTTGTCCCCTAGAAGTCAGGCTGGCCATGTGACATTGTTTGGTGTGTAAAGTATGAACGGAAAAGATGTGCTACTTCTGGGCAGAGATTTTCAGAATTAGCATGGTATGTGTCACCAATTCCCTTTTTTTGTGACACAGTGACTATATAAATATATATAGAAACATCTCTTCTGTCAGCCTGGATCCCTTTGTGACTATGATGAACTAAGTCTTATTGTCAGTTTTCATTGAATGAGTAACATGAACACATATTTAATTATTATGATAAACTACTCAGGTATTAGGGGTTGTCTATGCAGAATAACCCATCCCTTATTTTTCTTTTTATGCTAAACCAGTCTTTTTTTTTTAAGGCACTTGTACTTCATCATAACACATTACTTAATATTTTTTATTCTATAGCTTTAAGTTCCATTCTACAAATCCTTTTGTTGATTAAAATTTTAAGTTGAATGTAATATGCTGTGTATTTCTAGGAGGCAAATCAGGTAAGCAATACAGCTTACAGAATATTTTTATTAAAAACCTTTTTTTCTAAGAGTCAAATGAGTGAAATAAAAATAAATATGTAGTCTCTGTCCTTGTGGGATAATAGTAAGAGAGTTAATAAAAAGACATAAAATAAAATCTCAAAGATAATTCTACATGGGCCATGTGAAAAAAAATGAAATAAATCTTTTTTAGAAGAAGTAATCTAGAAAAACTTTATGGAAAAAGTGACATATAAACTGTATTTGAAAGATGAATAGAATACTGATGAGAAAATTCCACACAGCATCTAAGTAAATAAACTGTGAGAAAAGCATAAGCAAGACATACAAATGGAACAGCAAGTTATATAGTTTGACTTACTTGTAATAGCAAAGTAAATATGTAGAAGTATGACTTTTATTTTACAAACATCAAAGATTTTTAGCAGAAGAGGGATTTTATTATTAAGAAGATAATTAATATTGTCATTATATTTAGGATGAATTGTAAAAGATGGGTGCTAGAGGTCATCAGAGGTTTGGAAGGGGTGAAGATTTTTCATTGTCAAGGTGAGACAGTGAGGTTCTGAGAGAGGAAACAAAAAAGAAACAGCTTTGAGTTGTGTTGAGCTACAAGGTGTACAGATAGTTATATTTTCACCTGTGACCTAGTATTTGAAAATCTGTCTTCTTTCTTATATATTGCGAACCATATAAATAGAGTCTATAACTAGATACACCTTATTGGATAACTACCAAAAATGTAGTATTTTATGCTATTGAACACTGACTCAATATGCTAATATTCAACATTCAAACCAAAAGTGAAAACACAGATGCCTAGGGAAAGAAAAGTTGGCAGCACAAACTAGTGGGAATTGGGTAGGGTTTTTCTTGGCCTTCTGCTGCACAATAGGCCATTGTGATTCAGGTGTATTTGTTTGTTCTGGTAGAAATAAATTCTCCCACTGAAACAAAAGTGCTATTATAAAGAGCTAGACAAAATCAACAACACCCGACTTTGCCATGTCTTGCATGACTGTAAGGGATCACATTCAGGAATTGTTGATCAGACTTCCTTTGTCTCTCTTTTAAAAAGGCATTTTGCAAATTTAATACTTCTCCATGTTCTAAAGCATTGCTTGTCCATGGGAGAGGGGTTGGGTGTCAAACAAATGCAGAGGAGCTCTAGGGGTTTCTAACGTGGTCACTTCAATGGTCATTTCATAATGCGTTTGTCGGCATGTCTTTCTTCCAGTTCTGGTTTTGTTATCTTCTCTCTGTTTTCAATGTAAACAGCAGTACAAAGTGAGCTATCTTCCTGCTGCTCAAAATAAATAGTTATTTGGGTAAAATTTATAATGCTAGATTCTACTTTTAGTCAGAAAATGCAAATAAAGCTGGGAAACTGCTTGTTCCCTGACCCCAAATTCATTCCATGTTGCTATAGCATCACCCCTGAGAAAATGGGCCTGCCTGTTTTCCTCCCCATAGACAAACTCAATGGGCTTTTGTCAGCTCTTGAATTATAGCATTAAAATTTAAACAGTAGGGATTTAATGGAGGATTATTATGACACTCCAGTGCATTCTTTCTGTTGCCGTTAGCAACAACCCCAAGAATGAAATAAAATAATTGTTTTAAGAGGTGCTGTTTTCCTAAAAGATGAAACATCTACCTTGTATTCTTAGATTTATAGAAACTGATTTGTGTGTGTGTTACTTTTAACTTGAGTAGTGTTAGTGTATACCAATCCAATGCCTTATGGTATTTTCTTCTTCTTATTTAGTTCAACCAATCTACAAAGGCCAAAAATATTTTCACAGGCCCCCAAAAGATGAACTCCAATCTGTTTCCCCTAAATGCATTATCCACCGTCTGGAAGATGTGCAAAGGCAACGGCACAGCGTTCTCCATCTCAAATCCTTCAAAGTGCTGTCAGAATAAAAGAATCCCCACCAAAAGCCCCAGGGAAATCTATCTGTCTGTATGGTATGGTAATGACTGAGGTTATTCCAGATAGGATTCTGGGAGAAACTCAGCTATTGAAATCTAATGAATGGAACTGAGAATTTCTTGTTATAATACTATTTCTTTTATCAAATATATCCTTGTGCATAAGAAGACATAAAAATAAATAATAAAAGCAAGATATTGTTTGAATTTTTGTTTGATCACATAATCTGAGAAGTTTTCCAATGAGTAATTTTGCATCTGGATTTATTTTCTCGGCCAGTCACTTTCCTTTCTAGTTTTATGTCATTTTTTCTTTCCTAATGTCAGCAGCTAGGTTTACATTAAGGATTGCATTTTTAATACCAGGGATAACAACAATTTATGTTTCTTTTCTAGCTGTCAAAATACAGATATTTCCTTCTTTTGTTATATCCTTGCTGGATAACTCCTTTCAAAATATTTTTAACTTTTTCCTTTTGAAGTAAATTTAAGTTCATTGTAGAAATAATGTAAAATGAGTAAAGGCAATAAATAAATAAATAGTCCTTTGGATTTTAACCAAGCAGAGATAATAGTTCTTAATCTAAGTGTGAGCCTTTATCTAAAGCAATGAAAATTAGTCTTACTTTTACCCAAGACATCTAGGTTTCCCCTATTCTTTTTCGTAGAGGCAACCCTTATTACCAGTGTCTTGTATTCCCTTTCAGAGGAGTACATGCAAACATCTGTATATTTGCCATCATTACAGGAAAACAATAAATTTTACATTTTTCAGATCCTTGCTTTTTCATATAACAATAAATCTTGAAATCAGCATAAGTTCCAGAATTTGTCCAGTCTTGTGGGACTAGAGAGTTGGGACATTGAAGGAGGAGACTAAGGGGTTTGCCTTGAAGTTGTCTTTGCTAAGCAAGCAACTATCATTTGTTATATTGTTTATAGCTGGTCAATAAATGGCAAAAGTAATGGAACATGGTTTTATTCACACTTTACAAGCACTGAAAATAGTCACTGTTCATAAAGACAGTAACTGTTAACATTATTTTTATTGGGATGATTAGCCATCGTTTGTATGGAACTACAGGTGATTTCTCTAGAGTTCCTAAATGAGAGATTTTAAAGTAGTTCCTTGTCATTTGCTGTCAAAAACAATGTTGCAGTAAACATTCCTGTAAACATTACTATAGGTATACATATGAATAGGCTGTTTCACAAATTACTAGTATTTAAATTACTTCGATGAAAACATTATATACCAGAAAACGTTATATACATAGATGTTCACCATCAGTGAACCAGACCAGGCATTGAGGTCCTTGTTGAGCCAGTGACATTGCTTTCAGAAGCAGAATGGAGGCTAAAGTTTCCCCCAGAAGGCAAGCTGTCATGTGTCATGTAACGCTTATGCTGCTGGGACCAGGCTGAACCTGCTTTTGAATATATCATTTTTATTTGACAAGTGAGGCTTACTGGGCCTTTTCTACTTTGTTAGTCATTGAGTCCTACCCAATATATGGCCCCCTCAAAAATGGAAACACCAGGCCAGCGAGTGACGAGGTTTCTACGGGTCAGGTATTTAGCTTTGCCAGGAGTCTAGCACATTGCTAGATACTTTTGTTTTTAAGTGGCCATGTCAGAGGAGTGATTAACCCAAGGGCCCCTCAAGGTAGAGGTTGGATTTATTTGCCCAGGATCCCAACTGACTAAGACTTGTCACAAAGACTTGAGCTCCAAGGTACATTAAAGTTGTGCATTAGCACTTTACATGCAGCCCTTCTGTGATCAGGAGAATCCCTCTGACACTTTTGGGATGAGGAAGTATATTCAGATGTAGAAGCTACAATGGTACACTCAACTGGTCCAAAATTTCTCAGCATACAAAATCACATTAATTTCCCCTCTTCACTGTGAACCTGGCCCAAACTCCATTCATTG